GCCTCATTCACAGCATGCAGGACCGCATCAATGCTGTTATTAAGGCAGATGGTTACCAAACAAAATACTAGGCTTTTACGAGTAAAATGAGCCATAAACCATTTGATTTAGTCTATTATTGGTGATGCTGTAACTACTCAAAGTTGTAATGGAAATGTTGGTGAGGTGGCTCGTGCCGATGCGCGCCCAGATTAAAGGAAGGTGACTGTAGCTACCAAAAATGTTGGTGATAGCCATCACGAGGTGGATGTCCTTCAGCATGACAGTCTGGCATCCACCGTGGAGCGCAGCGAGCACACAAGCTGTATATTGTTAGATTATTACAATGGTCATTACAATGGTTATTACAATGGGGTATATACCTTGGAACATTTGAACGAGGAAGAACTCACTCTCCTCTTGTAAGGCCTTGAAGGCCCCCTTTGACCAGCGAGTAACCAGCTTGACCTCCTTGTTCTGGAAATCCTCACCGATGAGGCGGCACGTAGCGCGAAACTGGCCAGGAAGCTGGCAGGAACCATCGGTGGTCTGGTAGAAGCGAATTTCCTGAAGAGCGCGAGCTGTAACAACCTCAGTAATAACCCTTGAAGTTGGTGGTATACTGTCACGGGTATATACTGTTCGGCTCCCAGTACCCATATCTATTGGTTACTGTACCTTTTTGGTCGGTGTAGCTCAGGTGGGACCGAGCCGAGCCCTCACACTCCATGAGCTCCACCCTGAATTTGATACACTTGGGGATACCCAGGAGGAGTGGGATTACTTTTGTGAGGGTTTGAGAGAGGCGTGGTGGGACATACCTGATACTCTGATCAAGAAGCTTATCTACTCAATACCACAACGACTCAGTGCCTGTATGCGTGCACAGGGGTACCAGATTAAATATTGAGATCACACGCAATCCAACACTTTAATCAGATTCAAATTTCACCATGTGGTAGTTGAGATAATAGTGTGTGAACATTCACTCAAAAGTAGTTGTGGTGGTCCAAGTGCGTTGGGCGACAAGACTTTTGTCCTCTGACTGTATACCCCTCCGGTGCCCCCGGTCATCTCTTACTCCCAAAAATCCCACCAGTGTATGTAGTAACCAGAAAAACAGGGGGGTCAGGATCTTTTGCAAGTCATAATACTACAGCGGCCAATGCCGCCACAGTTGTAAAGGCACGTAGACTCCAGCAGCACCATCCAAGTGTATAACTGCATCCCAAAGCATTCTGTAGTTGTGAAATACCGAACAATGCACAATGACGTCGTGAAGTGTGGAAGGGTTGAGATGATTTATTGATCTGAGAGAGCTATTGGCTGGAATCGATCGAGACTATATAGTAGAAGGGGGTAGCAGTGAAGATATGGGGAAGCAAACTGAACTAACCGAATGAGCTGGACAATCAGTGCAGCGGACCGTTGGCAAACATGAAGCCCTGCGTTTTGCCCTACATCTCAAAGCGGGAGCGCTAAAGTTAGTTGGCTACTTTTCAATGTGCAAGAAGCTTGTCTTGCAAAGTCTGGATGCATAGCGATTAGGGAGGTTTTCTGTCTCTTTGGGCTTGAGATGGCTTCATAAGGAAACAGCATCCAGGGCTTCGGGCTTAGGCATATGTGCAGCGTGCGGTGACATCTGCGTCAGGCATGGAGTAGTGCGAGAAGTAACACGTCGAGTATCTTGTAATATTCTGAGTACATTGGTCGACGGGTAAGCCAGCTGAATGCACTAGCTTGAGATATGTTTGGTACCACACAAAGAATGTCTCTGCACTTGCGTGGATATTGACCGAAGCCATATGCAGGGTGATACACGGCTGCATCTGTGTTTGCTCAAGGTTGAAGCTGCTGCCATGGCAATTTCCCAGTTTTGAGGTGTGGTTTCCCTTTGCGGAAGCAGAACTTCAATTGTTCTGCTTTCACGTGTGACAGGTATAGAAAACGCACACCACTACATGTCCACGCAGGCAGCGCTCTCATTAGTCAGCTCATTTGATTAGCTCCCACTCTAGCGCACTGTAGATATCTGCCCGCTCTCATAGCACCAATAGAAAACACAACAACGCCCTCATCACTACCCCTTTGAAGAAGTAAGGCCGCTGCCCGCTGTCGGTCTGACCTGGTTCAGGCCGTGTGCACAGTGCCCAGCCTAATGGAAGAGATTCGATTGGGGTGAACATTTTCCCGGCAGCGCTCGCTATGATTGGTGCAGGCTGTGTTTGTGTTGGTGAAGGTCGCTCAAGCATGTGCAGGTTCGTGTTACCATCCTCCCGCGGGAGAGGCAGCGGCAACCAGCACAGCTGCATCGTGAAGTAAGAACACCATCAACCTCACCTTACTGATCTTGATGCAATTCTCAATCACCATCCAAGACTCAACCCCATGTACGCCCTCACGATAGTTGCCCCACCGCACTCGCTTCGCTTCACTCTTGGCGTGCTCAATCCGGGTTGCTCGGCTCTTTGGCGCCACGACATCATAGCTTTCCAGACACCAAGGAGGTTCCCAGTTTTAACCATGTCTCTGGCAAGATCCTTCTTTTTTCGATCCAGAGGCCCTTCCAATGTACGGAGTGAGGTCGCTCTGTATCCACATTCGGCCATCTTGCAGCCAACTGCCTTGCAATATCTGCATCCCTAAACCCGTCTTTGAGTTCTAGTATCATTGAATCATTGCACTGCGCTTCAGATCTAGAATTGGTTCTGCCTGGAGACTTATCTGACTATAAATGATCCAAAACACCTGCGACAAGTTACAATGACTCGCCAGGGTAGCAAGCAAACTCATAATATTCTATTAGCAGTTTTATTATCAAAATTCAATTCATAATTACTGCAGTTGTGTGCAGGATCCTCCCACATTCCGTGAACCAAAATTCAGAAACCAAAAAGTTGTGGCGTTAGCTTCTATATCACATAGTTATTGCCTACTATTGCAGTAGCAACTCACTCTTGTTAGAGCGTGTCTACAGTGCGATATGACGGGTGTTGCGCTGCACATACAACTGTACCCTGTAGGTTGCAAAACTTGGGCTCATAACCAATTGAACTAAATTGCTGATAAGGGAAACTCCTGGTGACACGACTGGAACCAACGTGCGGCAATGGAGACTTGTTATAGGTATTATGATTGATTCATTCTATCTATTTTAAAGTCGAACATATTTCAGGGGCTTGGCCCAAAGGGTCAGACCTCTTGCCCTGCTGATTGGCTGGAGGCCTGCTCTCTCCCATTCCGGTTCAACAGGACCAGACTGCTTCAATATCAACTGGCTACAAACTTATACTGCCACTCCTCCCTCAGTGTCCGAGTTGTCCAGAAACTCATCCATTCCCAAATATGACCGAGATGATGACTCAACATGCCAAGCTGGCCTTTTGGGCGGGAGGTATTGATGAGGAACAAATGTCGTATCTGGTGAAACTGTAACTTGTCCCTCTTCATCTAGATGTTCGCGAAGGCCAAGGAGCGCTTCGAATTGCACAAAAAGTTCCTGATGATGGATTGACGACGTTTGACCATGCCCTGAAGGATCCGTATCTGGTGCTCTGTTCGGGAACTCCGAACTTTCGGATGGTAGCGAGACTCTTCTAAGCATCTGGTGAATTGCTTCCTTTCGAATCCTTTTGTTCATGTTGTCCAAAGCCTCTCTCTGGTCCTTTTCACTGTCCACTTGGGCTTCTGTATCAAGTACGGATGGTCGCCAATTAAGGCAGATGTTGTAATCAGAGACCGGTTCCACAAAGCGTCCTGGATGTGACTTGAAGTAAACCAGACAAGATAGACAGACTGGTCTGCTGCATGCAATGAAAGAATCATCGCCTGCAAACAGGAACTGACGTGTATGGAACTGGTCCAAAACTTGTATCCCAGCGTGTACATAGGGTTTCGCGTCTCCTGATTTGTAATTATGCAGGAAGTGTTCAAACAAGCCGTGGTTTTGGTTCATTGTTTCAAGAGCATGCTGGCAACGATGGAGATCTGAAGAATTATCTGGCATCATGCGTCGGGCAATGCTATCAAACGTGGTCGACATATCAACTGGCGGCAGTTTGGACTCTGACGGCGTGTCAATAGCACAGAGCTGAACCTCGTCTTTCAGCTCAGACAGTCTTGACCCATAAGTGAGTAGGGCCTTAGCTGCCTGAAAACGACGGCCAAGCTGTCTCATGTGGTGTCTCACCACATCGAAAGGACTTCGAGCGTCATTCCGATGCATACTCTCGCGGGTCTGGATACTCAACCTTGCAAGAGTATGTATGTATCTTGATCCCTGGCTTTCGTACGCAGAGCGGCAGAAGTCCGTAAGTGTACGCTGGCACACCCAGGTTCTTAACCATTCGACAAGACCGGATACTACCAGAAATCTGTTAGACATTGTGCTATGCGCCCTTTCGGAATGGCCATGAATCGGTATGAGGAGGCTTACCTTCTTCGGGATAGTTTGTGCTCAGCAAATCTTTGCACTTGTGCAGTGCTGAAAGGAGACAACCCATGTCCTTCCTAATCTGTGGGGCTGCAAATTCGATGCATGATGTGATAAAACCTTCCACACTACTCGATTGGCGAATGCCACCACATGCTAGTATTTGCTTCATATCAGCCAGACGTTTCCTCGCAAAAGCGATGATCCTTCTGTTGGGAGAGGTATGTGAAGCAATCCAGAGGACATGGTGCTTCTGTTTCGACTGCATACCAATCGCCGTCATGGTGTCGTGCCCAGTATCGTAGTCACACACAAATGCTAGGTCTTCCAGGAACTTACGTCGCGTAGTCCTTAGTGGTAAGTATAGAGTCTCCTCCTCCGTTGGAAGCCGGACTGGGATGTAATCCTCTTGGGTGTAACCCAGGGTGAATAACAGCACCAGAGGTTCGTAAAGACGACATATGAGGCGCTTATACCGAGACCTATCTGTTCTAGCTCTTGGCCTTGTTTCCTTCGACTGTATCCGATTCTTGGAATGGTTGGGCAGATTATAACCTGCATGGGACCTGGCACCATAGAACTCCTCCTGAAGTCGAAGCATGGCCTTTTCTCGCCCCTCGCCGTAGTTGGGTAACATCTGAACATCGAGGATACCTTGCAATGAATAGGCGAGGTCTTCAGGTCGCGTTGTGTTTCGATGCTTCGTCCACGATATCCGTTCTTGCATGCTGAGCTGGAAAATATGCTTCGTTTGGAGAGCCTCAATGCTGATCCCCGTCGCGTCAGAGACCTCTTGCACCAGCGTATGCTTATCTCCTAGTAAAGCCCACTCTTTTGAAAAGAACTGAACTATATCCGGGGCAATGAGCTCTTGGAGCGTCCAACCACGATTGAACCATCTGCTGCTTTTGAATTGCAATTCCCATTCCTTGCTATGAGCACTGTTTTTTTCCTCGGAAGATACGTTGGACAAATACGCATAGCAGACTGCTGCTTTCTGATACCATTGGAACATGAGAATAATCGCTTCTGTATGCTCAGAGCTGTTCGACTTATCAATGCAGCAGGTATCAACCCAGAAGTATTCCAATCTGTCCCGAGCAGCCTGATCACCGCAGAAGCGGAGTTTTCGATAACCTATCTTTTCTTGGCCAGTTCCATCCATCACATCGGAAAATGTGACCTCTTCGTTGTTATCTTCCTCCCACGTGTGTGAAAGAATAGCGTATGGCGGTTTTTCCCTGCGTCTGAAGTCTATGAGGTCGAATCGATCGTCTTGAAGCTTCAGTAGATACATATCTATGAAGTTGGAGGAGAGCGAACTTTTGAAACGTGTAAGTGAGTTGCACAAGGTCCAAATATCAGAGATGATGCATGGAAGGTATTCATATAGCTACAACAAGATGTTTTCCGGTGAATAAAGTGGGGCAGACGGCTGCGGGTAGGTATAACTGCATACATGATTTCGATATCTTACCATGCCACTGGTGCACGCTATTGGGGAGCCATCTGTGGCCTGACAATCCGAGAAGATTTCGCCAACGTAATATTATAGTTCATTCGAATTGGAAAGACGTTCTTAGACTAGCCTGAGTCTGTCGATACAGAGATTCTCGATATCGTTCATAAAAGGACCCCGTTACCACACCATATGCAGTATCTCGCTTAGATATATGTAGATCTAATGTAGAGCAGAATCTCGATTGTGATCAAAGCTTAATATCTGGAATGTATCGTCTATCATCCAGACGGTACCAACGACAATATAGCCGATGTAAATACAAGCAGATACAAGCACCGAGTCTCCAAGATATTTGATCAACCTTCATTTCAGTACGGGGGTAGGCCTAGGAGAGAGCACATCCGTTCTGATGCAGCATGCTTCGCTTCTTGCTTGCTGCGGCCCGTTCCGTCTTCTGAAAGTTCATTGAAATTGACGATGCAACGCCACACCGGGGGATCCAAGCTCAAACCCTCGTTGCGATAGTTCAAATTGCCTCTTTCGATGTCATTGTACTCCTTGAGGACCATTGTGTACCTTGACACATCGATGGCGCTTGAAGAAGCCGTCGGACTCGGAGATGCATGCGACAATCTATACGAGTAGGGTAATGTATTTGGCGTGTCTGGCGGACTGGGCACTTCTGTACCATCATTCGAACTCAAGGAAGGTTTTTTAGATGGTTCTGGATTGATTGGATCATGTTCTGCTCGATTGGGCGATTCGTAGGTCCGACATGGTCGCGTAGGTAGCATACTGCGTAGCTCCGGCGCGTTCTTTTCCCGAAGTCTCTTGCAGCTGACAGTGATGCGGGACAGCAGATTTCGGAAGAATTTCTCCCATGCATTACTATCTGAAACACAACGGGCATGGTGGATGTAGGTGTAGAAGCCAATGTGGTCCGGTCGTAAGCTCGTATCCTTCTTGAACGCTTCGGTAACAGCTCCAGCGTAAAAGATTCCGACTAATTGCAGAACATCCTTTTGCAAGATTAGCCTGTGATCAAAGACACAGTTGCGTACTGCTGCACATACAAGCAAACTGAATGGTGGAATTCCATCATACTCTCGCTGGATGATTTCGGCCAGTGCGCTGTCAAATGTTGACTTTCCAAACCATGCCTTGAAGTCTGGCCACGTGCAAATCAGCTAAAGCATCCATAAACAGCTCAAAACATCAACATACCTTGAGCATAGAAGAAACCGTCAATGGCAACATCCAAGTTAACTTCTGGTGGATGTTTTAGTACAAATCGATTGCAGAAGAGTGGATAGTCCCACCGGAGTGGTTCTTAGCTTCCATTTTCGCTACCCGGGAGTCACTTAATGTTTTTTTCTGGAGTTTGCTTGTCAAGTTTCCCTTGTCTCAGGATATGGAGATTTTAGAGGCGCATTCTCTCTTCCTATTATAGTCGCGGTGGATCACTTAGAATACTTGCCGAGAGTGACGTATAAAACTTCAGTACCGTCAACTTTCAGCCTTGTGTATCGCGCAGAGCTTTCTCACCAAGCACAATTGTAGCGATCGGTTGCATGCATAAACCGGTGAGGAACAGCATCCCTGGGTATGCATTCAGACGCAGCAAGGCTGAGGAGTACACCAATTTGTTCAGAGCTTCTGTCATATCAACAAACATCAACGAGTTAAGACTACGAGGTTATATGTCGGAATAGCCGATTCTGATGTCATCCAGAAGCTGAAAATGTGCGAGAAACGGATTGGAAGTGTTTACCAAGTGGATGAACTCCGGCAAAGCATACATACGACGCGTTCTGTTACACAGACGAGGCCAGGCTTCAAAGAAAGAATAAGATCCCAAACTGTGCGTCGGATTGCGTTAGCCAGTGTGCCCCAGGCTCAGACTTGCGAATAGGTCATGCATCGATAGGAGTTCTAGCCTTCTTCAATACCAATGCTCTCGGAGCTCTTTTCCTAGTTTGTTCTACTTGTTGTAACGTTGCGAACACGTACGTTCAATGATTGCACCAGCTGTGTGGAGGTGGTTGGTTCGTGATCTCGTATTGGTCTGCAGGATTGCGGCACAGTAAGGGCTGAGCAGCAAGGTTTCAACGGGGTTTGTGCCTCAGGCTGGTACTCGCCTCACTCAATTCAGCCTGCCAGCGAATATACCCACCGCTTGCATATCACACCGTATAGTGCGTCCTGTGTCGTAACACCAGCTGGGTTGGATGATTTGCATGAACCCGCTCTTGCATGTACTCTTGTTCACGACGACTGAGTCTTACATCCAATCATTCACCCTGATCTCGTTCCCCAATGATCTAGAAGTGAGGCGTTTGCACCCATACAGAAGCGGGCCGGACGGGAATAGCTGTCGATCGTCGCCGTTCCTTCAGCCTGATGCCGAACGTGGTGCATTACGATTGGTTCATACTTACTAAGGGTGTAGAGTACTGGTAGACTATTGCACGTCCGCTTTGATGACCCAGCCAGTATGCAGCGTCGTATCATAGAAGCCCATACGGAAGATGACTACATAAGGATTTTTCGACATTGGCAATGCGATATGGTAAGCATATGTCCAACCATAATTTCACATGCAATGCAACTTTGCCTACCTATATTCACTTGCAGCTCGTCGAACGACACAGGTAGCTATGTCATGACGAGCGCATATGCGGGATGATAAATAGTGTAGCTTGACCGGTGAGACAAATACAATGAGTACATCTCGCGTCATGTCTTGATGTTCAGTGTGGAGGAAGATGAGAACGGATTTTGGGCGCCTATAAATTTATGCAAGTGATCACTATGTGTAACCATGTGGCTTAAATCACATGATATCCAATTGTAGTAGGCACTGCCCAAGGGCAAGTTCACTTGTCTCTGAGCTGAGAGCTCCTGAACAACATGATTGAACAACAACACAGATAGCAATACAATTGTTGATCACAGCCTCAAACCAACACCTCTCACACAGTCTCACAATGGCATACAAACTCCAACGAATTTCTTTGCCCATCATGGCCACAGACGCGGTTAGAATGCCTTCTCAAAGAGATTCTGTTGTGAGTGGTATCAGCTCTCCGGAAGATGCGGCAGAGGTAGCGCGGGGGTTCATGAATACACTGAAAGCTTTGGGTCCTGAACATGAGTTTCGAACTCTAGCAGAGCTGGTAGATCTATTCCCGAAACTTGAAGCAGATATTCGAGAGAAAAAGAGGACACTGAGGCTGGCCGACAAGACCTGCAAGCGCTAGAAAACAACTTATACAAATGAACTAAGGAAGCAGCTGTGGCTGTATAACGAAGGTCATCCGATTTCATGAAGTAAGGAACAGCTTCGAAAGATAGACTGCAGACCTGAAGATAAGCATATCTCGTAAAGAAGAGAACATCTGTGGCGGCGTGGGCCGCTGTGGTATACTGATAGCTACGGTAAACAATAACGTAGGACTATCGGGTCAATGGAAGACTGCGCTGAGTTGCTATCTAGCTAGGAGATGACAATATATACTGTCCCTGTAACGTGCTAGTCCATAACAGTCTAAGCAAGTGTAAATCGGATCTCATAAGGACCGACTGACACCGTAACAACATCTCTGAATTGAAAGGCAATGAGACAAGCTTAAAATAAGCAAGGCGAAAGGTTGGAGATACTGACAAAGGACTGAAGGCCAAGTTGGAAGCAAAAGACGGCGAGATCACATAACTGAAGCAACAGAACCAGGATAATCAGGCCAGGTTCGATAAGGCCACGGCAGCACTGAACAGGTCACAGAGTGAGACTTCGACTCTGAAGTGTTCGTTGCATGAGATTCAGCAGCGTAACGCCCAGCTCGACAAGACCCTTAAGGTTGTTCAGATTGAACAAGAGATGATGAACTATTCCGTACGGTTGGGGATTCCAATCTAGGTCAGCTGTGCGTAAACGGTACTCCGCACTCGAACCGGTTGCTGATGGCGAAGAAGGGCGCAAGAGTTTGGCACTATCTGGGTATCAGTTACCACATTGGTTAGAAAAAAATTGGTGATGATCTAACCGACGATATGCTCAAGGTATGACCCTGAACATAAGCTATCATGGAACAGCCATTGATTCATGCCTTGCAGTAAAACTGGGATGCCCTGAAAGACGCTGCCAAATACCTGATGGAGAAGCTGTTTCCTCAGTCAAACTTGGATGTCGCGAAAGAAGTGCGGGTAGTCAAGGTACTTGCTATCCTAGCCTAGGTCATCGATAAATATCTGCTACAACCAACGTACCAACTGCTCAAAGAAAATTATGCTCTGGGAGAGATTTATTTACCTCTCGCATCCATCGAACCAAGCAAGCGAGGGTGCTGTGAGGTATGCTTCTGGCTGTGTTAGAGAGCCGAGACAGTGCCAAAAAAGACAGCTGTCGGACCGCATCGTCAAAGACGTAATGAGAAGATAAGGTGTTGAAGACGTTCTTCGTCCAGAGCTTTTCAATGGGTTCGTGAGTGATCTGAAAGACATCATGAGCGACGTGCGAGTTATCTGGCGCAATGTTCAGTACAGTACACAAAGCTTCAAGCCAAAATTAGAAGATACCCAGCCACGTACCATTGTTAGCAAGAGTTAGATCAATACTTTGATCAAAGCGGAGCGCCGCAATTCTCGGTCTGCTGAGTCGGGTCCATTCAGACCTCGTCAGAGACCACGAACTCTGTCTGTGAGCAGCAGTGCACGGAACAGACAAGCAAGAGAGGGATTTTTTTTATCTCAAACAACCGGGTCCAACGAATCATCAAACGTATGAGGGGTTTATTGAGGATAACACGGCGTTGCTAGCTGAACAGATGGATCTCATGTTAAGTTGCGGTGTTGCAATTCCGATAGTGCGCTGGATTGCATGAATGCCTTCAGGAGATTAACAGCAATGTTCTTGAGCATCTAAGGCTTCGAACCTACCTACTTTCTGATCCCAGTGTGCTCACTCGCCATATCAAATGCAACCTTCCAGTCCTACAATCCGAATCTTTCCGTGTCAACAAGAGCTTCTACCTAGGGAAACAAGCTTTCTTCAGCATCTTCACAAAGAGTACGATATCCTCTCACTCGTACATCAACTTTCCCTTAATCGTGATATTGCGCCCGAAGAAGTGCCAGTGAACTACGGGTTCTTCAACGAAGTCCATCAGACTAGTGCGCCCATTGCGGCGAAGAGCACTTGTCTCTGTTTTCAGACGTGTCGACATGCATGCCTGAGGCGGTATGAACTCAATAACTGCTTCTATGACGCCGAAGCTCTGTAGTGTCGCCAGGTCCCCAACCTCATTCCCTGTAATCCTGATCGATTTGGTTGAAGCGTCTGGTGAGCCCCTGAGTACATCCTCCTTCGGTCTGGCAAGCTTATTCTATCCCTGCCGACGGCGATGACTCTTGCACCCATAACAATGGCTATCTGGATGTCTGCACCGCTGTATCCGCCTGTTGCTGGACTGACGACCAGAGCCTCCCTGAGCACTAGTCGATGTTTCGCAAGTCATTGAACAGAACTATCGAGTGGCCCATATACACCGGTCTTTGGTTGAGTAGCTTAGTTCCTTGCACAGGATGGTCTTGTTCAGGGCGATGCAGTTCTTAAGTGTGAAATTTGCATACGTGGCAAATATCCCATCACGCCATACGTCCCGTATCAACTTCTTGCTACCATCTACGGAGCTATTATGTTGCGGTATTGGTTATTCCATACAAGGTCCGATTGTACCCCTGACAGACTACCCTAATCTCGTGTGTGACAGGTTACTGGCCTGAGGACAGGTATATAGTCGTCATCTCCCAGCTAGATAGCAATTCAGTGCAGTCTTCCATCGACCCGATAGTCCTATGTTGTTGTTTACCGTAGCTATCAGTATACCACAGCGGTCCACGCCGCCGCAGGTAAGAGTATTTGAGACGAGCTAGAATGCCGAGAGTTGAGTATGTGGTCGTAGCAGTCTGTTTGGCCTCATCTATAGTTTCTCTCAAAGGGCAGAAAGTGAGCAGAATCGTGTGAATTAGTACTATCTATGGTGGTGTTTATCTACACAGTGAAGCGAGTGGGCGCTAACTCATATAGGGAAGGCGCAGAGGCTCTGAGAACAGGATGTAGTGAAAGTACGGGCTGACAGTTTCACTGTGGGAGTGATAAGGAGAGGTTGCTCTGCATAATCCAGAGATGTATTTCTGTTCTGTCTGTCGTGATGGCCTTTTTTATGGCCATCAGGAGGGTCTGTTTATTTTTGGTCTAAATCGGGTCCCTAGAATGTTCGGTAGATGGTGGAGCCTCAGGGTTGGATGAATTGGTCATGGCCAGTGCCTGCTGGCACGTCCTCATCTTCAAGTAGTTTGCAGAGAGCCTCCAGGAATCTTTGTACTGATGGCAGCATTATGAGGTTGAGGTTTGATGGTCCATGTGGCCTGCGTCTGGACGAAGCGAGACTGTGCCGCTCTACATCGCTTCTTCATCTTGGCTGTTGTCTCGAGCAAAGAACCCCGGTTGTCTGTGTTCCACTCCTACGATACACGGCCTCGATCTCATCAGGAATCGACATCTCGAGCTCATGGAAGATAAGACGAACATCTTGTTCCACCATCACCTCCGCTCTCCTAATCTCCCCTGGTCTTCGGCTTTCTCTAAGCTGGATTGTTCAGGGACCGATCCAGTTGACAGATGTTGCAGTATCAATCGGTCCGTACAAGACCCGATTGGGCTTGGTTAGACTGTTATGGACTAGCACATTCCAGGGCCAGTATGTATTGTCTCCTCCTAGCTAGATAGCAACTCAGCGCAGTATTCCATCGACCCGATAGTTCTACGTTATCGTCTACCGTAGCCATCAGTACTCTACAGCGGTCCACACCGCTACAACTGAAATGACTCAAATCAGGGGCTTACATCCATTTCTGAGAAGAAATCAATTCGTCCGCTGTATTCCTCTGACCAGGACGGACTGTGCACATTATATGCTTCTGGAGCATCCTCTTGAGCAGCTCTTTTTGAGATATCGTGTGGTCAGGGTCCCCTCACAGGTCTTTGTGTTTACTGGCAGAGCCACTTCTGCAGGTGGCCCGGAGAGACATTTTCGGTGGTTATGAGCTGCCGTTACTATTACAAACAGGAGCGGTTATGATGTGAAGTGATGTGACTTGGGCGTGGTCCAAGCGGGGCTATGTGCCTTCATCCGTAGACACCTCTGCCCTGGATTGCTGCGCCACGAGGTTGTATTGTTCGTCCAACCTGTTTGTGAGTGGCACAACCCTACAGCACAATGTACTGTCATTCATGGTCTATGCTCTCGGCGCTCGTATCATCGATCTTGTTCTCCGTCTCACATGATACCCAGCTCCCCAAACCCCTTCAGGACATCCTTATCCACCCTGCTCAACCACTCCTCCTGAAACCGTTGCTCCCCACCCATGGTTTGCACCGCCTGCTGGATGTGCTCCCTCACAAAAGCGACAAGGTTGATCTGATGCACAGGATCCGAATACAAGAGGTCGCGCTTTCTCACATCTTCCGGCGCCTCGGGCTCGGTGGGGTTATACGGCTCGGGCGGCCAGTAGAGGCAACTATCCTTGTCAGCACACCACTCTCATAAAATATCTGCAGGGTTGGGGAGATACGTACTCCACACTCCGATCATCCATCCCATCCAGTAACTCGGCCAGCACATCCGTCCACAGCGCCATGAAGCTCTGCAACCTACCCAGCGCCCACGGCTGCCCCGTCTCCAACAACCTCGTCAGGACAAGAGTCATGAGTTTCTTCCCTGGCGCATCGCCGATATTCTCAATATGGCTGAACCACTCCTCCAGCAGCCAATCGAGCGTCTTCTCCAACCCCTCACTGCCAATCGATGACAGGGCTTCAAGCAGCACGCCCGGACTGGCAAGCCCAATGCGTGCCAGGACGGTGAAGTAGTCTGTTTCCACCACGCCATCCACCGCGCGGGAGGGCAGTTCGCGGTACGGACCATGACTCTGGTGGTGTGTCCACGCCCCGTGCAAGCCCTCGAGGACTTTGGCGAAGAAGCCGGTGGAGATCAGGTCCTGAGTGAGGACGCGGACTGCTGCTTCACCTCCGACGCCTTCAGCGCCGCGGATCACGCACTGCACGAGGTGGGTTAGGATGCCGTTGGCTTCGGGCTTGAGGTTGCCAAGGAGGTCAGCCAGAGCTTGGAGAAGGGCGGGGCGGAAGTTGTCGGCAAGCACGGCGGCGGGCGCGAGGAGGAGGTAGGCTTCTGTGATCTCAATGGCTTTGCGGAGGGTGTCGTTGTCCATTGAGAAGAGAGGTAGAAGGTACTGAAGGAGGTTGAGGAGCGCTTGGGGTGTGGGCTCGGGTGCGGATGGTGTTTGTGCGACGATAGATGACCACAGATCGAGTGCATCTTCTAGGAGGTAGACTTGTGTCTCGGACTCGGGCTCGATGGCGCTTTGGATGATGGGTAGGAAAGAGACGTGGAAGGTGCGGGATTCCGCTTTCATTGCATTCGTCAGGCGAGCCAGGAGAGTAAGAATGGCCTGCTTCATCAGGTGCTCCTCGCCGGACTGCTCCCACAGAGGTGGGAGGAGGGAGACAATGCTGTTCGCGTATGGAGTGATCTGTCTCGTCAGTCCTAATGGCCATGCAGAGAGGTCGCAGGCTTACATGATGCTCAAGTCTTTCGACTATGATACTGATAGTGCTCAGGAGAGCCATCTTGGTGTCTGGGAGGTCCACTTCCTGCACAAGCGCCATCAATCTCTCCAAGGTAGTCGGCGCGTATGGTAGGAAGTTGTCAGCATGGAACTCCCACTCATCAGCGATATCCTTGAAGCGTCGGCCTGCAGTGACCCGGACGACCTGGTCGTTGAGTGGGTCGCTTGTGTCCAATAGGTGCTGGAAGATCTGGTATACGATCGGCTTCTTCTCTTGAGCGATTTTGATGGCAATCCACTGCGAGATGACGATTGCAATTCGGCGGCGAATGATGTTGAACCCGGGCTTCTGCTTGCCTACTTCAGCAACGAGGGTGTTTTCGAGGAAGGCATCGAAGTCGAGCTGATCGTGTAGAATGTCGGCAGCAAGACCAATTGCTGTGTAGACGGAGTCTTTGAACAGGATATCCTCATTGTCGGGAGCTATGGCGGTCAGCATGTATGTAAGCCCAGTCTGCTGTGAGACTCACTGGCAACGGTGTAAAAGACTTGGAGCAGCGGCTGGACGATCAAAACTTTGAAATTCTTTGCGAGATCTAGGAACAGCTTCTCGGCGCAGGGGCGAATGGCGAACTCCCAATCTTCAGCGCCCTCTTCCATCTTCTCCCACTCGTCTGGCTCTTCTTCCCACATGCGCAGGTCGCTTGGTCGGAAGACGAAGAAGCGTGTAACGAGCGTTGAGATCATTTCGCGCACAAGGTCATCTGTGAGAAGCTCTTGCTTGACGGCCTGCACCGCCTGGGACCGCTCGTCCTTTTCTTGTTGCTGCTTGTACTTGAAGGTCTGAGTCGGGTAGAAGACCATCTTCACGCATGCGCGCATCAACAGAAGGCCCTTCAGGCCGAGTCGCTCAGTGATCGGCGCGTCATCTTCAGCGTCGCCATCTGTGCCGATTTGTGCACCATCTAACGACTTGGAGCCCCATGTCTCACCTAGTCTTGCGATCAAGCCCCAGTAGTCGCGCACGAGAGCTATTGAGTTTGGCAGCAGCACGAAGCTGGCAGGGTGAGTGAGAGCCATGGTTAAGTGGAGTTTGGACAGCTGCATCAAGTGCTTCTCGATTAGCTTCCGCACGCTCTCGCCGAGCGGCGAGTTCTCAGTAGAGACGTATTGGAAGAACTCTCCAAAGTGCGTTCGAGTCAGCGTCCAGAACTCTTGAACATCCTTCTCCCTACCCGGAAACTCGTAGCCTGCGATGAGCAGCCTGCGAATGATCTTGATGGCGATCAAGCTGTGCTCGATGCTCTCGATTGCGCCACCTTCATCCTCACCGCCGTCGCGGAAGAACGATTGCCAGGTCTGTACTTTGTTCACGTAGATTGTGCCCAGGACGTTGAAGATGGCGGGTGCCACGGTCTGCAGGCTCTGGCGCGTGCGCAATAGGCGACCGGTCGAGAGCTCCTTTACGATATACAGTAGGACGAGAAGGGCGCGAGGCAGCTGTAAGCGGTAAGCATTCGGGTCGGTCGAGGCGCGAAGGATCTGGAGCAGCTGCTGGAACAGTTCCGGCCTGAGCGCTGTTAGTCGCATGCAATGCCTTGCCCACCCACGGCATACAGACCAGTCGTTTGGAAACTCGAATCTGACAATCTTGGCAACAACCAATGCGTTCTGAAGCGCAAGCCGCTGGTCGGCTTCGTTGGCGGCACTCTCCAGCAAACGCGCTCGAATAGCGGCCTTGTCCTCTCTCGCAACAGCGTTGGTGGCAGTCTTGCGCCAGTACTTGTCGATGCCGTTCTTGAGTTGGATGACAGCAAGATAGCGGACCTCGAGCGGCAGTGACTTGTCCAGGAACACTGTCTGGAGCAGGGGGTAATAGCCACGCGCCTTCTCCCACTCCTGCAGCTGCTTGGTGCCTGACTGGACCTGTTGCGGGTCCGTGGAAGCTGCGGAGCGCAGCACGTGGAACAAGATGCCTTCGGTGAGCGGGTTTGCCTCACCAGGCACTTCGATGCCAAACTCCACGTTCATGTTGTTGCCTGGGTGTTTGGTGGAAACGTTGAGGGAGTCGCGGAGCAGTCGAACGGCCAGCTGTAAAATTATATGACCAGTCGTAAAACTATATGACCAGTCGTAAAACTATATGACCAGTCGTAGCACTGTATGGCCAGTTGTGAGAAACTACGAGGGCTGACGATCTGCAAGTCGAAGACAGGAGCTCGGGGGAGCCTGCTCACCCAGGCCAAAATTGTCGATTTTGCGATTCCGCTGATAGTGTAGCCTGTCCGAAGGAGCGCTTGAACTTTTGGTGTTTGGCAGCTCCGAGCTCCTCGCACATGCGCGACAACGCCCCGCGATCGGCTGGCAGACCCTTGCTGAGGAGGAAGAGGCAGGTGTAGGCGAGCCACTCGGCGCAGCTCGACGCAACCTCGGTCCGCCGCGATCATCGCATAATCGCATATCGATCAGCCCATCAGCTTGCTTCAATGCACCTTGCTTCGATGCACATACGCAGCGCTCCTTTGCTTCGCCCGGCCCAGCAATGATACAGTGAGCTTGTCCACGCTCCAATGCCCGCCGCCGCCGACTTTGCCGCTGCCCAAGAACGCATCGCCGCTCGCCGCGCCCAACGCGCTGCCAACGCGCGCACACACCGCGAAGCCCCGCGACCCTCGCACGCGCTCACACGCCTGCCCTTCCCCTTCAACCGCCTAAGCACTGCGGGCATCAGCGCCTGGGATGCCGTCAACAGCCGCGAAGGCACACGGCCAGCCTTCCGAGTGGGCCAGGTCGACGCCGAGCTGCTCGACGATGAGCTCCTCGCGCTGTTGAAGGCGCAAGTCGGACAGGGACTGCAATACCTGGGCGCTCACATCACCGACACATACGAGGCCGAGATCCTGCTAGCCCTCCGCGCCGTGCTGTTCAAACTCAGCATGTGGAACAACAACGCCAGCTACGGCGCCCACCTGCAAGGCCTGCGCTACACCGACGCGCGCTCCAGCGCTCCCAGCCGCCCGCCCCCAGAGCCCTGGCAAAAGGCGGCGTACGGACTCATAACCATCGGCGGGCGCTATGTCTGGAGCAAGTGGGAACAGCACCTCCTCTCTGCCGGCGAAGACTACGCACGCCCCGAGCACGCCCACCTCCCCTTGCTCACACGGCTAACCGAGTCGCTGACCAACGCGCACGACGTGGCGTCGCTCGCCTCGTTCCTCGTCTTCCTCGTCAATGGGCGCTACAGGACGCTCACAGACCGGCTGCTGCGCTTGCGGCTCACGCCCACATCGCACTCGACGAGCCGCGAGGTGTCGTTTGAGTATTTGAACCGCCAGCTCGTGTGGCACGCGTGCACCGAATTTCTGCTCTTCCTGCTTCCCCTCGTCGGCATATCGCGCTGGCGAAGGATCCTCAGCCGCTCGCTGCGGCGCCTGCGCACTGCATTCCTCGCCCTCATCGGCCGCCAGCCGACCGCCTCCGCCGACTCCTCCGACCAAGACAGGGGCGCCGGGGAACTAGGCTTTTTGCCAGAGCGCACATGCGCCATCTGCTACCGGGACCAGAACCCCGCCAGCAGCGCCGAATCCGACGTGCTCCCAGCCTCGGCAGGCGGCGGCGGCGTCGTCGGCTCCGCAGCAACAGACATCACGAACCCGTACGAAGCAGTGCGGTGCGGGTGCGTGTACTGCTTCGCGTGCATAGCGCAGCGCATCGCCAACGAGGAAGGCGAGGGCTGGACGTGTCTCCGGTGCGGGCAGGTGGTGCACGAGTGTCGGCCGTGGAGGGGCGACGTGCTCGAGCCGACGAGGCGGACGCAGAGCAGCTCGCATGGGTCTGACCGCCCGACCACGCGGGAAGGTGGGCACGGGAAGTCGGTGCTCTTCGCGCAGGACGAGCGGGCGTTGGAGGCTTCGTTGCAGCATGTCGACCCCGTGCCCGAGCAAGACGAGGCTGTTGATGTGACGGCTGATGAGCTGCTGGAGAAGACGAGGGGGCTGGACTTGGGCGAGAGCCTGGCCTTCACAGAGACGTCGGAGTGGGCGAGGGAGAGCGAGCGGAGCAGCGATGACGAGCAGAGCGAGGAGTACGATGAGGATGAGGAGCAGGAGGGCGAGGAGTTGGAGTACGATTATGAGGGGCAGTAGAAGCACGACTATGAGGGGCAGTAGAAGGGCGTTGATTCGATGGGCATGTCAAGGTTGGATGTTTATGCGAGAGATACCATGATGCATACTATTGTTCGTTTGCTACGAGGCTTGGGCGCAGAAGTGGTGGTGCAATGTGCGAGTGAGACCTGGCAGCCATTGAAGGATGCATATAGTCTGGTGGCTAAGGAAGCACTGGGACAAGAGCATCGAAGCCAAATTGCGCATAGTAATGTCCGTCCAGCGTTTCTGCCACACTGCCTTTGCCTTGTCCTACTCCATAGTGGTCCCATGTTCCATAGCGATTCCATGTCCCATAGCGATTTCATGTTCCGTAGTGATTTCACCTAGACACAGACACGTGTCCCACACCGAGCCCTCGGTTTCCACGGCACTATCTCTTCTCTTTCTCTGTTCGCCGGCCTGCCGTCCTTGTTCGCTGGCCTGATGCTGCACGTGTATCCAAGACCACCGTCTGCTGCCTTGTCGAGAACCCACAGCAAAAGTTCGTCGGTATCTAAGCCAGAAGCCGCAATAGTGCGACTTGGTTTCTGAAACCTCTCTGCAATCTGGACAGTACTACGCCCTAGCGAACTCGGCGAATCGCGGTAATCTGGCCATCTTCTCCTCGGGACTGATGCTCTCGTCGAAGAACATGAGTTTGATGTTAGCGTTCTTTTTGCTCTTCTTCTCGTCTTTCTTGTCCGTCGGCGTGGCTTCGTTCGCAACAGAGCCGATGAGATCATCGACCGAGGCGTGTATGGCAGCCGGATCCGAGCCGTTCTGTGCAAATGCTGGAGGCGCGCCGAAGCCTGGACGCGGGGGGAGAGCAGCAGGTTGCCCGGGGATGCTTCCTGGTCGTGGGGGGGGTATAGCGCCATTCGCGGGGAAGGGCTGGGGAGGAGGGGCTTGTGGTGGGTAGGCGGGCGCGCCGGAAAAGGGAGCGGGTGGTGCGCCGTAGGGTGCAGCTGCTGGGGGTGTCTGCAATTCATGTCAGTCATCTGGCTGGAGCGAATGCGCTGGTGACGCTTACAGGGTTCGGCTGTGTGACCTCGACGGGCGGTGCAGGCAAGATGCCGTTCTGCCTGTCGTGCCTGAACTTGTTCGCGCGCTCCTCGATCTCCTCCAGCGTCTCATTGACCTTCTTGCGCTTGTTCGGCGGCGCCTGCCCGTTCGCATACAGCCCGCGCACCGGGTTGCCCGTTAACCGCGCGCGCTCTGCCTCCTCGGCGAAGTGCTTCTGGGTGACTTGCTGGTTGTGCTGGTCTATGATCTCTGCGGGGACGCCTTCCATGCCGAAGATTTCAATGTCCAGGCCCTGGCGCCCGCCGATTGCGTTCTCGACGTGTGTGAGGTTCTCCTTGTGGACCTGGTTCATGTGCACCGAAAGACCTGCGCTTGTCAGATATGTGGTCTGCTGTTGTGTTGTGCAGGAGTGAATGTACCTCCGGCTGTGTTTAACCGCCTCCCGCAGCGGTCGCATTTGAAGTGCTTCGCTTTCTGATGTGAAATAAGAATCTTCAGGTCGTCGAAGTCGCGTTCGCAGTAGTAGCACCATGGCCGCTCGAGCTTCTGGTTGAGGTCTGGGTACCTCTTGCGCTTCTTCGTCATCGCCGCGGTTGTAGGTGGTCGTGGAGAGAGAGTGTGTCAAAACTGGCCGTCGAATAACGCGCAGTGTCGTTGGGAAAGAGGAGAATCGGCAGGCGTCAATGGGGCTCGAGTCTAGCGACGGTGTTGCTGAAGCTCGCCATTTCCGAAGCTGGAGCGGAGGGCTAGCGCGACCCATGTCTTGGCAGCTGCGTCTGAATTTCTTCTGGCTCTCGCACTTTTCACCCTTCACTTCTATGCCGCATTCTGCGTAGCCTCTTTGTTCAGAGGAATACATCGAATGTTCACTCGTAGGACGCAACCCGCGCGTCAGCCACTTGGTCTTCGGACACTCCAACAGGTCCCTCGGGAGCATCCCGCACCGTCGCGTCTTGCGTCGGTGCGGTGTATGCGGCTGTACTCCGGTTCGTGCTTCTTTTGGTTCAGCTTGCTGTCCCAATGGTATCGTTGCAAGAACAAATCAAAGGTCCTTCATAGTTCACACTTCCTCGCTCTTCAGGAGACCTTCCACGAAGAGTGTGACTCCTTGGCTACCTACATATATCTTTCCTCCCTCCTGTTGTTTGAACATGTCCATTGCTTCGCTCCTCAGGATTGTTCGACCAGAGCCATGAGACTGAAGCTGAGGTTGTCTTCTTCCCACGTCGTCATAACGCGAATCACAGCCAAGCATTTCTCCGACAAGACGTCTTCCTCAGCCTCCAGGAATGCCAGCTCAATTGGCCTCTTACGATCGCCGTCCAGCTGATACAGATGACCATTGATATGCGACTTGACAAACGCAATGTAGTGAAGTCGACCTCATCCTCAGGGTTTGCTGGGGCTTCGGTATCACCCTTCTTGGCCACATCGGCGTATGCTCGCTCCAGCTTCTGCTCATTCTCCAACGCGAGCGCCCGCTCACTGTGCCGTAGTGGTAGACATGTCCTCGATAGATGACCCATGGGCGAGCTGGGTTCTGTCATGTCCTGGTCAGTTCGAGCTTGGCGTTGTCACGACAGCAAGCTCGCCAAAGCTGTTCCGCACATCGCCATTGCACACAGCATGCAGAATCGCATACAGCCCACAAGCGTTGTTGGTCGTCTGTCTGAAGGATACTACGTCTTCGTCATCGCTGCCATCCGGGTAGTTCTTTGATTCGAAATCTTCCACTTTGATGCGCCTTTCGTACGCTTCAGTCGTTGGAAACACGAGGATTAGAGCATGGACTGGTCGTGGCAGGAATCTAAGTAGCTCTGGGTCGTCCAAAGAGAGCACGTCTTGGAAGCAGAGCGATTTGGAGATGCCAAGCTTTCGATCCACTTGTTCCTTCTGAGACAGCTACCATCCGGGTCGCTCGACTCAAACGATGCAAACGAGGCGAACCGATTGTATGCGAACTCATAAGTACGCCTCTAGCTAAAGCTGGATACAAGCCTTGGGTTATGTTTGGGGAACCATGTTAGCCCCACATAAGATCATAATTGATGTTTCACTTTTCTACGTCACCTACAACCTGTACAGGGCCCTACAGAGGTTGCGACACATTGAAGATGATCGAGTTCTCTGGATAGATGCAATATGTATCAACCAGAAAGATAATGTCGGGAAGAGCGTCCAAGTACAGCTGATGCGAGACATCTACGCAAAAGCTACCAAGGTCGTGGTTTGGTTGGGTGAAGCGAACAGAAATACCGAAGCAATGCTCCAAGTCGTGCAGCAGTACAATTGTATCAGCTCAGACGAAGAGGAGACATGGTGGAGAACTTCCGCAAATTCATTAGACTGAAAGGGAATCTGGCCGGCTTTCTGCAGCATTACAGAGCACGAGTGGTGGAGTCGTGCATGGATCATAAAAGAAGTGGTCATCGGGAAGCACGTTGTCATACAAATTGGCTGGCATCAGATGCACTGGGATATGTTTGCAAGTTCACCACGAGCGAACCGTGCAGAAGCCAGTTGCCCGGGCACCCCTCCGCTGTTCGCCAACAGCGTCCAGGAGCTTCGTCATGAATTCCATAAGGACGAAGCAACCCCCAACACTCTTATCGATCTAGCCTACCGCTTCCGCAGCCAGTCAGCAACGTTCGGCTCAGACAAACTCTATGCCCTCTTGCGCTTATTGCAAGCAGACAACTCGACAATACTAACACCAGACTCAGCAAGTCGCCTGCTGACGCATTTTTCGAACTCAAACTCTCTTATCGGCAAAATAGCAGCTTAACGGCCATTGTTCTCGGACCAGGATGCGAGCTCGAGGGAGTAAGCTAGTGTCGGGATTGGTGCCTCAATCGCGACGGCCAGTTCAGTGCCACATATCTGAGCATCTTTCCGCCGACCGCCGACCAATGAGTGGGTGCCAGATGACTTCTGTGCATCCGGCACCCATAGGCCAGTGTTCAAAACTGTTTCCTCTCAGCGCATCTTGCCCTTGAGGAGATACGACGCGGACACAATCACCCGATCTGGCCATTTCCTGGATCAGTCCGGCTTCAGAGCCGTGAATTGGTTCTTCACCCTCGAAAGCTGGCAGCATACTGCGGGTGGGCCCTGGAACGAGGAGACATCATTGAAAGAAGCATTCAGTCGTACTGTCACAATACGCGGCTAGAAACGGGAGCCACAAGATTAGACACAGTATGTTCAGCAATGAGACGATTGCACACGCAGCGAAACCGATGAAGCGTACAGAGATCGCCTTGATGAGGTCGCTTCATGCCGGCGCTTCTTCGTTACTAAGAATGGGCGATTCGGCCTCAGGCCTTGGAATTTGAAGAAGGACGACAATTTGTGTGTCCTGCTAGGAGGGAAAACACCGTTCGTGCTTCGCCCGTGCGCACCGCCTCGTGAAGGTGCAGCAAAAGCGCAATACCACAAATCGATTGGTGAAGCCTATGTCGACGGACTGATGTATTATCAAGGCAATATGCAAGACGATTTCACGGGTGAAAAGGTGATGCCAAGATGGTATCATTTGTGCTGAGAATCACTAAGTCAGGTCGAAGACATCTCTGGAAGGTTAGCACGTAGCTTTGCACAAGAGCTTTTCAACGCTCTTCCGCATATCTCAAATAAATGCTGAAATAATATACATATCACACTGAATATGATACATACGACCATAGGACGTTGAAAATAAGTTCTCCCGGGCAACTTGCCATCTGTCATGGCACCGTCTTGAGAAGACTGTGGTGCACCTTCCCGTTTCTGGTAATCACGACTCTACTAGGCTAGGCCTAATCTAGATCTATTTGCTCTCTCACTTCATTGTATGAACACCAAACTGAAGACAGGATTCTGGTCTGTGGCCTTGATGGCACGCTGACCGCCGACAAAGCCATGCTTCTGATCATAATATCCTGTTGGTGCTCACTGTAACAATCACGACCAAAAGCACTGTGAACGAGTACAGGTCCCCGCACAAGTGCTCCTTGTTCCTTTGGAAACTATCTGCTCACCACCCTTGTCAAGTATTACTCCAATTCCCCTCCAAATTGCGTACTTAAGTGGCCCAACCTTGTAGCTAGATAAAGTAGTTTTTCTGTATCCTTCTGTACAAGACCTATAGGTGTAGGGAATCAATCCTAGTGTTCTCAACGTCCCAGCACTCCCATATGCCTTGTAGCGGACTCACACTAACCTTGGATATCTTCTCTACTGGCCTGCGTTGTTACAAAGAGTGGTGTCGCCTCTTCAACGGACTGTCCTTGAAGCTCAACCAGATGCCTGTCATTTGGTGTGACAATCAGCAGACTGTGGGGATGGTTACAAAAGAGCAGGATAAACTGAGCACTAAACTCAAACATGTTGATATTCACCAGAACTGGATCTGTCAGGAGATTGAGGAATATTGACTCCAAGTACAATGGAGATCCACAAACCAGATGCCAGCTGATGGCATGACCAAGATGCTTCCATGTCAAAAGCATATCAAGTTTGTTAAACAACTACACCTTGTGGCCATATGATCAAAGATTCAGGAGATGGAGAAAGATAAATGAGAAGTTCATCCTTCTGTCATGGATTGACTACAGGATGAGGGGGTGTGTGATGGTTTATGAAGGAGGTCATGAGTGACACGTGTTGGTGCAGCGCTCTTGCCTGTTCCAACAGCACTTTCTGGCTGCATGACAGATACGTCATGTAAACAAACCCTGCTGGAGGTGGAGTGAGAGAACAGAACACAGAACACAATACACTGATTTTTTACTGCTTCGCGCGGTTCCCCCCTTGACTTAATGCCTTGCGCGGTTATACCTTCATTTATTGCATTTACTGCAACATTACTTAAGGTAGCCGTGAGCTCCATGTCTTTAGTCCCGGACAGTTGTATGACGGGCTTTTCAGGAGCAAAATAGTAACCCTGTGTCACAGTATCCTCTCCAGATCCCCTGACAATATCCGGATCCGCTCCGTACTGTCCCTGACCGTACGCACCAAATCCCCAGCGTCCTTACACACCTCCAAAGCGGACGTACAACCTCTGGTCACCTCTGGAGCGGACCTGCAACCTCTGAAGCGGGAGTATTAGAATTCTGCAAGCCCTGCTCTGGGACTTGCAACCCCGATACCTATCCAACTCAGTTCCGATTATTAACCGGTAACCGAACGAACCCACACGTAAGTATATAGACTATTGCTGGTAGAGTTCTGTTTGGTACACAACGTCTTGTACCTACTTAGAGACCGTACGTAGTAATTGATTTAGACTCCTAGCGAGTCCTAAAGGGCCTACTTGTAGCATCTTCGTGACACCCTGTAGACTAGTTCGAGTTGTCCGCTTTATTCTTCCTCCAAGCAGTTTTCTGAGTGCCTCACTGTAAGGGTATATGTGACAGCGAGCTTAGTAACAATGGGGGGTTGGTCCCATAAGATTAATTGCTACCGTTTTCCTGGCCATTGTGTGCCCAATTATCTATGTGCTCTCGTCCGTACCACGCTAGCGTCCCGATGGGTTAGCGCCATCGTCCTGACACGTGACAGCCTACTTCACTACAGCACCATGACCCCGTTACAGGATACCACAAGTGGTAAAAAGGATAAGTGATAAAGAAGGGATCAAGTGTGGGGATACCACATAGAATCAGTGAGGAGTGAGTTGAGGAGTAAAGGTTGAAGTATTGAATTGAGTTGCAAGCATGAGTGAGAACTATCTAGAGGTGGGAAGAAGGGGGTTCATATACCTAGATGGGTGGCAAGCTGACAAATGGGAGCTGACAAATGGGAGCTGACAAATGGGTGCTGACAAGTATAAAGACTGGTAGGGTTGTTGTTGGCTGCAAGCCATGTCAGGATGACACCTCTGCATCCTTTTGCCTATGGTACAGCCTTATTTTCCTGAATATTTCTCCATCAGAAGGCTTTTGTTCGTTTGAGAATGATTCAACAATGCAAGTCAGGTATGGTTTGGGGATGTCTGCACTCGCATTAGCAGTGCGTAGGGGAGCAATGAGAAAGGGTATCACCGGTGGAGAACAATCTCACAGACCACCACTGGTCATTCTCATCCAAGTATCGCTTTGCTGCTTCAATGCGATGCAACCTCAAAAGACACTTGATATCCCCCAGATTCAATGCCGGGGCATTGCGCGCCCACGTGACTTGGCGGAGCTGCTCTACCGTTAGAGCGCTGGAAGATAGAAAGACAGGTAGTTCTTGTTACGATCAAAGGGCAACCCGCACAACACTGAACGAACAGGACCACGCAACAATACGAAAAAAGCCGAAGAACTGTAGTATTGATTGACCCAAGCAGTGGGCCGCATCGGCAATACTCAGTATGATCATCACTCTCAGTTGAGCAACTCAAGCAACCCAAGCAGTGGGCCGCATCGGCAATACTCTGCAGTGTACCCGACGCGAGCAGTATACTTGGTACGGTCAGTATACTCAGCACTAGCAGTATACTCGGCAAGAGCAGTGTACTCGGCACGAGCAGTATACTCGACACGGTCAGTATACTCAGTACGATCAGTATACTTGGTACGAGCAGTATACTCAACACGGTCAGTATACTCAGTACGATCAGTATACTTGGTACAAGCAGTATACTTGGTACGATCAGTATACTCAGTACCGAGCAATCTGAGCAATCCTCTGCTCATGTATATAGCAAGTAGACACGCTGCCC